AAAAAATGGCAATCTACTTTGATTTTTAATCAAGACATTTGTATATTTTCCAAACATTAACGATGTAACGAGAAAAAATAATAAACCTATTTTTTTCTGATTAGCACAATTCATCATTTTGAAAATTATAAATTACAATGAGTATGATTTATATAGCTTACATTAAAATTACTAAATTTTTTTAATAAATTCGTAGGTTATTACGAAACCTACCGATTCCCTTATTATTATTATTATTATTATTATTATTATTATTATTATTATTATATATATATATATATATATATATATATATATATATATATATATATATATATATATATATATAAAAGAAACGAATATTAGAAACAGTGAACTTGCTATTTTTTGGCAGAATTGATCCCTTTATTGTTAGACTTCAAAGTTAGAAATAGTAAATTTGGATGTTTTTTGACAACTGTGCTCCTCATTCTTTAGTCATTTTGACACTTTTGGTCAATGCAATCAATATTTTTACATTGTTTAGGAACCTTTTAATATTTAAAGTTTGGCAACTAAACTTTAACGGTTTGACAACTTTGATCAATTTTCAAAAAATTTGTTAATTCCTACCCTTTTAATTCCTTAGCCATTTTGACCTTTTTGGTCCTTGCAGTCAAAACTTTTATATTTTTTCATAAAAATATGAAGAAAAAAAAACGGTCTGGAGCAAAGTCTGGGCTTTTCATCCTTGCATTTTCTACGTTTGTCATATTTATCGATTCGGAAACAATATTGAACGCTTCTGGCCCCCGCGTAGCGGGGGTAACCTTTCTAGTTCTTATTATTATTATTATTATTATTATTATTATTATTATTATTATTATTATTATTATTATTATTATTATTATTATTTGCTTTTTTGTAACAAATATCACTACATCACAATTATAGGTCGTTATATACGATCTACAAACAAAATAAAAAAGAAAACGAAAAAAAAAATTACGAAAACCATAGGCTTTACAAGAAACCTACGGTGTACAAGCAATCAATGCATTTTTGTGTATGAATGAGTAGCCTATTGCCCGAAAGAGTAGTCAATTATTTTTCCTCTTTGATCGTAGTCAAGATGTACGGTTTCGTTGGCTAATTTGGAATAATTGCTATTTTTTGCTAAAAACTGAAAAGTAGTTAAGAAAAAATGGTTAGTTGTGTAATTTTCTTGATTTATTATAATTTGATGTTAATTAAGTTATTAAGGGTGGGATCAAATTTATTTTTTAATACACTAATCATAATTATTATAGATGCAAAACGTAATGATTAGGAAAAAAAACATCTTATGTACAAAAAAACAAAATAAATAAAATCATCATAACCATGTACACCTAAAGGCATAAGTTACAAAAGGAGTAACTTTTTTTTTTGTCGCAATGCTCTCTCTAATGCGAGCCAGTTGAATTGATGAAGTTGTCTTGTTATATAGGTTGTTTGGGATTGCTTTAAAAATAATTTTTTGGTTTTTTACTTTTTCAAAAAGTTAGAAGAAGAATTGAAAAGTTGTTTGGAAATCAAAAAAGTTATTTTGAAAATAACTTTCCGGTAAAAGTAAAAGGAAAAGAAAGTGATTTAAAAAACTACAAAATCTTACTTTTTGAATTTTTGCCTTTTGAAAAGCAACTTTTGTATTTTTTACATCCAAATACATTTTAAACATTTATTTTTGAAAAAATCTTTTATAAAAAGGATTTTAAGCCTAGAAAAGATCTCCCAAACACCCTCGTAATATTTGATTTCGAGTATAATCGATGGATTTTTGAGCCTCTATTTCGAGTAAAATAGGCATATTAGATTTTTAGCATAAGTAACGACTTATTCGGCTCTAAAATCCAATACAAATATTGCTTTAGAATTGGTATTAGTGTGCTTCAGACTGTTGTTTATATGTTAAATTTTCAAATCAAAAATGATTTTTTTTTTAAAGTGTATTGAGCAAAGAATATTTCATCATTTTAAGTATATATGTTAGAGCCAAACTTAAAACAACGAAACCAAACTTAAAACAACGATTAGCGGGTTAAAATAGCACCAAAGCACCCATGAAGATGTACCTTTATTAAATTGCCAATTTTTGATTAAATAGCACCAACCCAAATCAAGATATTTGATAAGGAAAAAAACAAAAAATTTATTTATGTGCAAAATAAGCGGGAGTATATTATTTACCAGTCAACATAAGATTTATTAGATCATGATGCTCTAATCAGTTAAGTCACTGCTGACTAATTTTCCCTTTTTGACCTAATCAACGTATTTATTTTATTTCCACAATCATTAAATGATTCACTTTGGAATAAAAATAATAGAATAATAGACATCAATATTATTATTTTCTTAAAAAACATATTTTATGGAGTTGAAAAAGTCTTCAGTTTCATGTAAAATTAATAAATATTAGCTTTTTTTCATTGCATTGTAATACCGATAATATTTGTATTTATAATTCTAATCATATTGAAGTAAATATTTTATTTTTAAATATTATTAAGAAAGAACTTTTAATTCACTAAAGAAACAATCATGATTATTTATAGTATTTTAATCCCATACTTTTCACTTTTATATCAAATTGTTGACATCATATTTTCTAAATAAAATTCAAACATTATATAATTATAAAATCTTTAAATTCAACAATTATATTATCAATTGAAACATATCATTTTATTCATATATGAGATATAAATAAAAGTTAACTAAGTAATTGACACTCAATTTCCAAAAATGTGTTCATCTATTTAGTTTTCATTTAAAAACCAGAAAATCACTGATTTCAAATTTACAAACTTGAATTATTTAAAACACAATTTTCTTTTTAATATTTTTCAATCAGTTAACTTACTACGTATTTGCAACATATCACTAAAATCATTTAACCAAAATATTTACTTTCTATATCCAATCCAATTTCAATAACAATCAAAACAAGAAATCATGGATTATATTTCAAGATATTTTTACCATTAGTTGAATATATAAATATACATACCCCTCTACATGAATCAATCATTTTGAAATTTATTATTCATCTTCTTCTTATTCTGATTGCATCTGATAAAACCCCATTCAAATTTTCTGAACTCCATCTGCTTCATAAAGTTCAACACACCAGGTGTATTTCTTTAATTATCTTATATGATATTTTCGTTCGTACTTCTCTCTTTTGGAAAATCATCATTTTATCGACTCTTTAGTTTAACAGTTTAAATATTGACATTTTATTATGGCTATGTTTTATGTTTGTTTGTTTGCAACAATCAATTATTGTGGGTTTTAATTAAAATAAATGTTTCATTATCAGGACCATACATATAATTCTTTTTTTTCTTAACATGTGTTAACAATCTAATATATAATGATGTACTTTTTTTATTAACATTACCGAATCTGCATAATCAATTAAGCAATATACTTTCAACTACGACGATGTAATTTTCATACTTTTCATACTATCTTATACTTTCATTAATGTTATAATAAACTATCCTAGTATTGCATAATACATTTTGGAATATCTACAGAAAAATCCTAAACTTTTGGAAAAAGTTTTATTAAAGTCCTAAAAGTTTTTTTTAAACAGAAAAGCCCCGATTATTTAACATTTTACCCAAATTAACGAAAATATCATTTTTATATATCAATAGCAAATTATATGACTTTCTCAAAATAATGAGACTTTTCTGTTAAAAAAAGTTTGGGACTTTTCTATAGATTTCCCATACATTTTTGGTTCTTAATGTTGTATATTTGTATTATAGCATGGCATAATAATTATTGACAAAACAATAAATGATATATTCCTCCTTTAAAAGTCGATTTAGGGTTTCTTCATGAACGAATGACTTCATCTTCTCCTATGATTGCTCTTCTTCTTCTAAAGTGATGATATCAAACTCAAGTCCAAAACCCTAATTCTTGACTTAAGGCAAAAAGGGTTCCAACGGGCCTCCCTCCCCCCTAAGGCCCAAATCCATAAAAAGCACAAAAAGGCATTCAAACCCAACTATAAGGCCTCTAAGGCCCAAGAACCCCCAACATTGCCTTAAGCACAAAAAATGACCTGCTACAATCAGGTGGGCCTAAGGCCTAACTTAAACAAGTCCATGCATACACCTAGCATTTGCTGAAGCCTCTGTGATCCGGATTTCAATCCAGTACGCCCAACGTACTCCTAGTGTACGCCCAGTGTACTCGGCTAGGATCTATAACCGCCAATCTTCCAAAGGCCATAACTGCTTCATTCTATGTCCGATTTCGTCATTCTTTATATCCACGGGAGCTAATTTAGGCATTAACAGCCACACCAAGGGTTATGGCCTTCAGATTACGATACTTAGTGTTATCTTAATGCTAAATTAGATTTCGTCATTTCGGGGTCCAACCGAGGGTTATGGCCTTTGGAAACGAAATCGCAATCTAATTTGGACCCCGACATAGCTCTATGATGCCTAAATTAGATTGTGATTCTTAGTGTTACCTTAATGCTATGTATGTTATCTTTTTTTTTCCTTACCTTACTCTGCCTCGGATATCATATCTTTGGGGTATTTATAGGCTGCTTGTTGTTGGAAGAGTTTATAGTCTTGACCGGTCCTTCATTTATTATCCGGTCTACAGATAGGCACATCTTTTGTCCCTTCCTTGTTATTTTATTGTTTTCGTACCATTTATTTTCCATGTTTACTGGGATATGGTTCTGATACTTGTGTACGATGTATTCGAATTTATATTCGTTTGTAACAAGTCGTGGTGTCTGTAACGCCCATTTGGTGATGGATAATGTTGGTTTTGGGGACCAAGTGTTCGGTTTGTGTTGGAGCCCAAAGACATATCAGTAAGTATCAGTTCGAGTTTGTATGAGGTTTAGGTTTATGTTAGAATTTTTTTAAGACAAGTGGGAGTTGAGAGTAGTGTAGAGCTTCTCGTTTTCTTCTTGTGGATATAAAGAATGACAAAATCAGACTTAGAATGAAGAAGTTATGGCCTTCAGAAGATTGGAGGTTCTTGACCCTAGCCGAGTACGCTGGTCGTATGCTAGGAGTATGTCGGGCGCACCGACTTGAAATCTAGATCGTAGAGGCTTCAGCATATGCTGGGCATATGCATGGACTTGTTTAACTTAGGCCTCAGGGCCACCTGATTGTAGCATGTCATTTTTTGGGCTTAAGGTCATGTTGGGGGTTCTTAGGCCATATTGGGCCTTAGAGGCCTTGTAGTTGAGATTAGATGTCTTTTTGGGCTTTTTACGGATTTGGGCATTTGTCAAAGGGAGGCTTATTAAGGCAGGGGTAAAGGAGCCCGTTTTGCCTTAAGTCAAGTATTAGGGTTTTGGACTTGAGTTTGAATCATCACTTTAAAAGAATAAGAGCAATCATAGGAGAAGATGAAGTCATTCATTCATTAAGAAACCCTAAATCGATTTTTAAAGAAGGAAATATATCATTTATTGTTTTGTCAATAATTATTACGTCATGTCATAATAGTTAAACCAAGTCATCATTTAACCTGTAAGAGTCAGTTACTGGTGGGTAATATTTAAACAAAACATATAGTTTGTTGGTGTTTTTGTACAAAAAATTTATTTGGATGGTGTTTTTTGAACATACAAAACTTGAATGCTATTTTTTGAACGATTTTGAAACATAGTTACCCATTTGAGTCATTTCCTTTTGTTTTTTGTTTTTTTTTTCCTTTACTTGTTTTTATACCGGTAATTGCCGGTTACACAATGTCAAATTTGAACAAAGAATGTGATTGATAGATCTTTCTTTTGGATTTCTCGTAGGTTTAGAAAAGTTAAATTAGTTGGACCTCTTGGCTTCATAATCCCCTCTTAACTTGTAATTTGTTATGATGTATTCTTTCTCTAGCTTCTTGCTAGTTTTTTAATAAAATCTTTGTCGTTCTAAAAAAAAAAAATTTAAACAAAGAATATACTTTGTTGATGTTTTTTGTACAAATGCTTTACTTAAATGGTATCTTTTAAACACACCAAATTTAAATGAAATTTTTTGAACAATTTAAAAACATAATTACCCATATAAGTCATTTTTCCCACATCTTTACGTATCCAAATGACACCCAAAAATGAAATTACGATAGTTCGATTTGCAATATTTCGGATATGATGATTATATCTTCCAAAAATTAAAGTTATTAAGTTAATTGCTTAATAAACAGGTGTTATTCTTACGAATATTTCAAAATAAGACGAATATTATTACCCAATTGACAGGATTTTGACACGTGGCGGGTCCGTGGACCAACTTGTGTAAAGTGTGAAATAAACAAGAATTTACCCAAAACACTTTGGTTTCCAGCTGTCATACCACTCTACCTTGCGCCGTAAGTATTAACCAGCCTTCACTTTTTGGTCCTACACGACTACTCAACTGCATACTTACAATTCCGTACCCTTGTTTTCAACAAATTTTATATTTTTCACCCCTGACATTTATCTATAAAAGAGATCATCGCCAATCAACAAATCCTCCTCTCCAACACTACAGAATTCATTCGTTCTTCCTTAATCTCACCATGACCCGTGTAACCCTCCTCGTCCTTGTTCTAGTTCAGAAAGTTCCATAATTTGCTTTGATTTTGTTGTATTTTAAGCATAATTTCCGTCCTCTGTTTTTCATCTTCATCTTCAACTTCGATCTTCTTGAATTTCCATCTTCTTTCATCTCTCTTCATCAAAAGTCTTCTTAGTTTCTATAAATTCTCTGCTTTCCACCTTCAATTTCATAAATTTCAGTTGTAATCACCGATTAGGAGCTTCTGATTTTAAGCTCTGTGTGCTCTTGTTGATCCTTCAATGGCGGCCACTTTTCCAACACCACCAGCAAAGAAACCCGCCACATCTTTTCCTCCGAGAAGGGGAAGAGTGAAAGCTCAAATTTTTGAAGGGGTTGCAGAAGCAGTAGCTTCTGCAGCCTCGAGAGCTGGCGATTTCTTGGGTCTCATCAAGAAAGACGACACCCCCGTGAACGAGGGTTCTAAACCTGCACCACCACCGGAAACCACCAAGACTTATGGTGAAGATGGAAAGGCTGCTTAGTCATTTCATAATCTATCTCGTCTATAGTATTTTTATATTTATATATTCGTGAGAGAAATATCCTTGGTTTTGAAAAGGGTACGATCTCATGAGGGTATTTGTGTTTGATCTTTTTGTCTCTTCTATTTTTGGTGAAGAGATCGATGTTTGATTGTACTTTTCAGCTTTAAATGTTTGTACTTTGTTGTTAAAAGTAATCTATGAATAAGGTGGGTGTTTGTTTAATCTTTTGGAATCTTTGTTCAATTGTTTGTGTATTTTTATTTTAATCTTCCCTTTTATCCTTTTATTAAATTAGTTATATTATATATTTGATTTGATAAACATATACGAAATGCTAGGATACACGTTAACGAAAAGTTCTAATTTAGAACAGCCGAATTTTGGTAAAAAAGTAAACGGATTATAAAAAAAAAAAAAAAAAAAAACAACCAAATACAACAAAATGTAACAGCCAAGTAGGGTTTGAAGCCACCAAACCCACTTAATTGTTTCTTAGACGTTGCATTACACCAAAAGAAAGTTCGAATGACAAACTTACCAAAGATATCTAATCTACCGTCATCAACTTAAAAGAAGTAATATAAATTAAAGGGTTAATGTCAATATAGCTTAAAAACAAATCCAATTAAAGGTTATTGTTAATATAGCTTAAAAACGAAAGGTTTTGATTTTATATAGTCATCAAACTTTCTTTTTGTCCACAAACCGTCAAAAATACCATCTTATAGGATGTAAAGGGATTATCCAGTAAACGCATGTCATTTGGTTATCCGACAACGTCTAAATCACGTTGACATAATATCCATATATATATTCTAGTTTAAAACAGAGATAATATTCAAAGTTTAATAAAAGTTTTAGAGTAAGTTATATTTGGTCCAAGTGGTGTTGTCACATTTGTATTATCGGTTTAACTTTTAAAAATGTGATAGGATGCATCCATGTTGTTTAAAAAAATGGGCACATCCTTAATCTATTTAAAAAAAAGATCATTTAATTTTTATTTTTAGATTTTTGTTTTTCTAATATATATATATATATATATATATATATATATATATATATATATATATATATATATATATATATATATAAAAGCTTAAGGGTATATAAGCTTAGGTACCCAAATTCACCATACTACATTGTTTTATAGCATATATATATACATTGTAATAGTCCGATATTCTTATAATTCAACTTCTAACATGATTTACTTCCAAGATTTTTATAAATTTCACATTTATCTTCCTTTTATATAATTTTCATTTTCAACTATAATATATATAGTCTAGTAGGTGCTTGACAAAAAGATGTGATGTAAGAAAAAGATAATAGTGAAATTTTGAAAATCTTGAAAATAAATCAAGTTAGAGATTGAAGTTTAAGAAAAATATAATAAATATATTAAACAAAACAACGTATTGTGGTGGGTTTGAGTATCTAAGTTTATATACCCTTAAGGGTATATTCACTTTTCCATATATATATATATATATATATATATATATATATATATATATATATATATATATATATATATATATATATATATATATACTATCTTATAAAAAAAATCTCACTATTTCTAAAAATAGATTGAATATAATAATATTATTTTTTTAAGACGTTCAAATCATTAAGCTAATAGTACAAGTAGTCATCAATAAAATAATATTAAATTTTAACCTGTGTTTTAAATCTTTATATTTCTCAACAAATTCTATCTCCTTCCCTGAATTTCGGATAATTCAAAATTTGAAACCATTAGAAAATACATGTTGATTCAAATATCCCTCCTGCAAATGGCTCTTTCTTAACATGTTTTTATTTTAATCCTTACTTGTAATTGATTTCATCATTTTTAACTTTTTGTATTTTTATCTTATAAATATATTGGGTGAAGGCTTTATTATATTAGGTTTGTTCCTAAAAAGGTTTTACTATGTTTCTTTAATGTGTTGACTTTGCAGGTTCAAATAACTCAACCAAGAAGGCCAGTTAGAGCATTGTATTATCATTAGTTTGTATATTTTGACATCTTACTTTTGCAATAAAGAACGGTTAAACACACGATTTGACATGATTAAGGTAGTTTGTATATTTTTCATCTTGTTTAGTCTAAAAATGAAACATTTTTCATCATTAGTCCTTATAATATCAAGTTTCATCACATGGACTTCCTGATTACAGTGATTATTGTCCTTATTATAAGGTTCTATATAGATTTTGTTCAATATTTTAAGGTTTCGAGAACCTAAATCAATATGAATCCTTGAATTACATACCATCGTTGAAAATATTTTTATTTGTGACCAAACTTGGTTTAAAATCACAATGAACAAGTTGACACCTGAGTATTTTGGTCTTCTCAAAGGTCTATTTATCGACTTTTGAATCACAACACCTGATATTCTAAAGGTTTATTTTTATAAACTATTATTTATATATTTTAGCATTTTACTTAGTAGGACATTAAATTAATAAAGGAATTAAGGAAAATGAAAAAAAAAGGACGATAAATAGTACAAGTGGTTTGGATATGTATAAATGGAAGTAATAACTATTTAGGGGGTGTTTGGCAAAAAAAAACTTATTGCTTATTAGTTTATTAGCTTATAAGTTATATAAGTTATTAAGTAAGTGTAGGGTAACTTATGAAAAAATGACGTATTAGAGGTTCCCCACCGGAATAAGTTATTTTAATCCAAACACTTTTTTAACTTATAGTGATGTGGAACCTAATAAGTTCTTTTAAAAAAGCTTAGCCAAACACCCCTTAATATGGTATGATAATGTTCTTGAAAAATAGATGTCATTTAATATTCATTTCTCGAAGTGAACGCAAAATGGTTTTAACTCTAAAGATATCAAATTATTCGCCGTCCGCCGCTTCGTGCGAGTAGATGGCTAGTATATATATATATATATATATATATATATATATATATATATATATATATATATATATATATATAGTTTTTCAATACTTTTTTGCTTACATTTTATTTATTTATTTATATTTTTATTATTTAGATTTTGTTTGACATTTTTTGGAATATATTGTTTATTGGTTTTTTTTACATTTAGTTCATTTATATTTTTTTAAATAAATTTTTCTAGTTTTTTGACATTTTGTTTGAATACATTTTAATTTTTTTTTAGTTTTTTTTTTAAATATTTTTTGTAAAAAATGTAAAAAAAAAATTGTTAAAAGTGAATATTATTAAGTATAAAATTATTTTTTTAATAAGATTAATAGATAGGCTAACCTAAATTTGAAAATAGGTTTCAAGTTATATAATGGTTAATTGGAAGTCATATAACTCAAAAACAAACAAAATTTTCAGAAAAAAAAAAAAAAGAAAACATTGACACATGTGTTTGAGTTATAGAAATTATGATTAGCATTTTTGATTCGGAACAAAATGTAAAAAAAAAATCTAAAACTAAAAAAATTGAACTCAAAGCCATTGACACTCGTTTCGAATTTTGGTTAGCATATACAATAACCCTATTAAAATAAATAATTTTACATGTAAAATGTGTTAATCATACTCACATTTTACAAACTTTTTTATATTTTTGTAAAAAGTTTTACAAAAATATAAAAATATAATAAAACATGAAAAATATATTCAAACAAAACACTAAAAAAAACTAGAAAAATTATTCAAAAATAATCAAAATAAATATAAACGAACAAAATATAAAAAAAACATTAAAAAGTATATTTGAATTATATATATATATATATATATATATTAAAAAATATAAATAAATAAAATAAAAGGTAAGTGGCAATATATATATATATATATATATATATATATATATATATATATATATATATATATATATATATATATATATATATATATATATATATATAGACATACACTTAGGTTTAATTGAGAACAATCATATAGTTAAGAACACGAGAACAAATATATGCCAAATATTTTGCTGCAAATACACTCACTTGTATTGGCACGACAGAGGAACTTAATATTCATGTGTGAATATAAACCACCACCATCGCAACTAACGCAGCCACTACTGGGCCATATATTTCTTCTTTCCACAAAACCCTTCCGCGCACCAACGTGAGTATATGCATATTCTCAAGTGATTATTCATATATTAATATTATTTGTTCTGTCATATACGATGGATCGCTTAAGCGGCAGGTTTATAATATTGTAGCACCTGGTTCCTGGTATGTATTTTAATCTAAGTATTTTTTTGCATTTTTAGCTGGAACTCGGCGAGTTGCAGGCTCGACTCGCCGAGTAGAGTCGAGATATCGAGCACGTTTAAGTTGGCGACTCGACGAGTCCGTCGGTCTGGATGAAACCCTAACTTCAAGGGTTTGCACCCTATTTAAACCCCCTTATGCGCCCCAAGCTCGCCCCCTTCACTCTCAAAGCATCCTTTATCAAACCCTAACTCTCCCCTTTGTGATTTGAGTGTTTGTGTGCTTTTCCTTGAAGTTTGAAGAAGAGAAGGAAGGAAGGACCAAGGAGAAGGATAAGAGCAAGGATCTAGAACTCAATCCAGAGTCCATTGAGGTATATTTCAGATCTTTTTAGTTGCCATGATGATTTTCTTTTAAAAACCCCATTTAAGCCATCTTTATCCATTTTCTAACTTGATTGTAATAAAGAGATCATATTGAGTGGAATGGCCTTTGAATCTAGTTAGGTTTGAGCTTAAGAGCCCAGATCTACTACCTTTATGGAGCCATACTGCATGAAAGCCCTAGATCTACCCTTTTAGTGTGTTTTGAACTTTAAAAACCATCATTAGTGTTTATCTACACGTAAAGTTGGAAACTTTACGTGTTAATCGAGCCCTAAGAACCCATATCTATGTATGGAATGCACTGGGTTCAAGCAGAATCGAGTATATAGTGATTGCATGCATGCGACTTGGCGAGTCGTTCTTCGGACTCGGCGAGTCGAGTCACGAGTCCCTGATTTTCCCCTTTTGAGTTATGT